GTGGCAGAGAGAGAAGGAGAGGGGAAAAAAAATAAATATGGAATTGTCTCAATATATGTCCTCTTCACTGCCAGCTGACACATTTTCCAGAAGTAGTCCATTAAGTTTTCTAACATAACTTAGACTAAGCAGTTGAGGGCTGGGGGGAAGCTGTGCTTCTCGGACAGATAAGAAGAGATTGCTGTGTGATTGCTGGGGTCTTTTATGTATCCAACTATCATCTCCTCATAAAATGATTTTTTGATATCTTTTCATAACACCTCTCAACATACATTTAAAATTCTTGTGTTTGTTAAAACAAATAAAAAATTCAGCAAGTAAAACACTGTATAACCTTACAATATAAGAGCATTTAAAGATCAATATTTTTTCACTTTGATAGTAAATTAGTTACGACAGCCGTTCTCAAGAGTTTCTACAAATGAAAGTATTACAGGTTAATTTTGTTTTAACAATAAAATGCTTCCGACTACACATATATTGGTAACACAATTTCAAAATACCACTGTGGTCATTTGGCAAGACAGAAGCTAGATGTGATTTTTAAAAATATCTTTTAAAATACCTTATTAAGAAAAACATTAGTCACACTACTGAAACTAAGCATGATTAATCAGTGAGAATCAGTGATTAACTAATTCTATGTTTGACTAAAATGTATTAGATTTCTCAGGCTTTTAGTTTTCTGGCTAGTTGTCTTTAAAAAAACCCAACAAACAAAACAAAAAAACCAACTCACGCCTAGATCAGCTGAAAACATTAAAACTTTATATGAGAGGGATCAAAAACTGAGACCAATATGACCTGGCACTATCTGCTCACAATACGATGACTTAACACAGCACAAATAAGGTCACTGAAAGTTACGGTGCAAGTTGCTTTCTGCATTCCCAAAGGCATTATTGGATCTTCAAGCAGCTTGTTGAAAGTAAGCGGAAAAATAGAACACCAGATTATTTGAAGAGACCTCTACCCTTAGATGGCCTAAACCTCCTTACTGCACTATATGGTGTGGCAAGTAGCCAGCAACTCTTGGATACTTCATAAGGAGGAAATAAAATAAGGCCATCCCGGACTCAACTCTGCATCAGAGGTTCCCAAAGTGCAACCCACAAACCATGTGTGACCCATAAAAGCTTTCCTATTTAGCTTGCAAAGGGACTTCATTGTGGCCATCCTCAGCAGAAGCGGTTCATTAAGTCTGAAGCAATAACAGATTTCTTCCAAGTGGACTGGAGTTGGGGCAAGTGTCTGGGTGCTCAGGAGACAGGAACCGTCTGCCGCTAAGAGCCCAGCAAGCTCTGCAACTTGATGCTGTGGACACTAGCTGGCCCCAGGAGTGCCGCCTTGCCAGTGCCTTGCGAGGTCCAGAGAGCTCCAAATCATTGGGAAATGGGGAAGAGTCAGTAACGAAAGCCCTGGCTTGCAGGGAGGATGACTACACGTTTCAGACAGCTCCCCTGCACTGAGCCAATCGCACACACATGCCACAGCTCTCTGTGATCAGAACTTGATGTTCCAGGTCCCCAAACAGATCAGGAACATCTGCCTGACAAGTAGCCAAATGCATTTGCAAAGAACTAGTATTTGGGACCTTAATGATGTATTAATTATCAAGTTATCATCAGTCATTTAAGCTTAAAAAAAACACTCAAGATTTACTTACTTTAGTACTGCTAGGGAAAAGGAGAAAAAAAAAAAAGGCATTTACTCAATTTTTAACCCAATTTTGGGGAAGGAGGGGGGAGAGATGCTGCTTCCCACCTATAAATAAAATAAAGTTTTGATTCATATTTGAATAAAATATAATTCACAACCAAAATAAATTGCAGACATGATCCTTACTAAGAGCATAATAAAACATCCAAACATGTGAAAACTTGAACATTTTTGAATTTTGAGATCTTTAACAATGCGGTAGATTTATTTCTATCTCAAAGTACCGTATTCTTCGTCATTCTCAAACTAAAAGCAAAACTGAGCTGCTGTCTTACAGATTCTCCTGTGAACTCTGTCACTACTTTTCCAATATAAATTTGGAATGTACACAAGTGCCACGTGGGTAACAGCTGCAATGAAGATTCATCACTTCAGATTCTAGTACTATAATGTTTTTATCCATCATACCTCATCTTCTGCATCTGCTGCAGAAGTTAACTTGAGCACAGCTTCACATTTCTCTTGGAAACAGCTTGCAATGAAGTCAGCATGTCTCATGAACACATTCATTTCTTCACTGGTAACTGGGTTGTTCTGACTGACTTCCACCATTATCAGCTCTAACAAAGTAACTCTAGAATCAGAAAATAACTTGTTAAATTCACTAAGCCATATAAAATTATCAGAAGAATGAGCAGATATAGTTGTTAAAAATGATAGAAAAAATTAGCATGCTAATAACAGCCGATTTTTAAAAATTAAGAAGTTTTATGAACACTGGTAATCAGTTCCTGTTCCCTGGTTTATTTCTGCCCACTGTTAATTTAATTCATCATTCAATTAATACAATCTGGCCAGACAGTCAAGTCAATATTTTTCTCAAGTCTATTTGAATTTCTAATTTCTTATGTCCTAACATAACATTACTGTGAGTGCATATTCCGTATGTCTAAAATTTCCACCAAAACAGCTCTTAAAAGCTGTTGTTAAGTTCAGCAAAATAAACACAGACTATTTGACAGCCTCCATTTGAAAACAGCAGCTTTTCACAGCTCTTGCCTTGCACACAGTCCTTCGCTAATTCTTCTCCCCAACCCCAAACCAATTCTAGCAGAAACAGGGGAAATAAAAATTGATATATACACTCAGTTCTTTACAGCTGTTTTATAATTGCCATTAGATGGATTACAGTAAATCCAAGTTAATTACTCATATACCCAGTAAGAGTTATTCAGTGTATTAAACCAGTAAGTGGATACATAATGAAGCTGCTCTATAAAATGTACTTGGGTCATTTATTTTAACAGCTTTAATGTAGCTTTATTTCCAATATCCCGTCATGTCGCTAGGGCAAACTGAGTATTTTGTGGAAGCAGTACTTTAACGTGGCAGAGGCCCTCCTACAGCTTCCCTCTTCAACTCCAGCGCAGAGGAGCACATGGGTTAGTGAAGTCCCACTGTAATTCTCTCAACCTGAAAGAGCGCTATTTATTGAATAAATTCAAGAGCAGGCTCAGGGTTTTCTTTCACTAAAACATTTGCAATTCAGATGGAAGGACTGACATTTAAACATGTGGAATAGTTCAAATGCCTTTTTTTTTTTTTTTCATTTACCAAACAGGTTGTCACAAGGGAAAAAGAAATGTCTCTTTTCTGTGGAAAAAGCATGGTCACTGCTTTATTAACCTCCAAGAACCCACCCTATTAATCACGTAACAGCTACTCAGTTCTTGCTAAACTCAACCCTCAATGTCATTAATACAGCTGCATTAAACTATTATCTGAATGAAGACAAAAAGCTTTTTCAACACGGTAGCACAGAAATGTGCTCGACACACTTGGGAAAGGGTGGACTCCAGACAGAAGGCTGTCAAACACTGGTAACCTCTCTCACAGACTTCGCGTACGTATTTGACAGAGCACTGACACAGAACAGTTGGTCTGTTGGTTCTGCAGGATACAGCTGGGTACCACACGCTCGCCCGTCTACAAACTACCAGTGTCCAGTTACCCAACATCCCTAACTGAATGAAGGCTGTCAGATTTGGCATACTATACAGAAATCAAGTTAAGTGCACAGACATGTCATTCATCCCCAAGACAGGGCTAGATTTTACAAGCCAGTTTTTACCAAGTTTAATCAATGCTCAGCTAAGAAAACAGGCTGCTTACAGACTTTAGTATTTTATTGGAATAATTCCCGTAATCGTATCTCCTACATTAACAGAACTCCCATCAGCTATTGTTGCACCAATAGTCCAAATAATACACATTTAACAACGACAAGGAATCCTTCTGTAAAGAAGTCGGAGGGTCATCACATAATTGCATAAACTGTATTAGCGAGATGAAATTGTTGCCAACAGAGGATTTTTTTTGCATTACTCCTCCTCTTGCGATATAATTGGGTGCCCTTTTAGATAACCATAATCCTTTTGGAGAAATAGTAGTGACATTAAAACATCACCTGTATGTAATCTCTTTTAAAGTTTTCTGTTCTCTTTAGGCACTCATGTCAAAACTGTTTTCCTGAGTTTTCTTCCAGGCACAGTCATTCAGGACATGCCCATCTTTCCCCTGAATTTCAAGCAAGTCTTGCCATTCAGCCAACAATTTCCAGAGAGCAACACTTTTTGTTCTGGTGCAAGTTCCCTTACATTCCTGTCTTCTATTGTTTCTCTCAGTTTTCTTCCAAGACTCACTCAAATTTTTCCAAGTTAGTTCTCCCACATAATGCAATTTGCTCATTTCTTTTAAACGGTCTCACAACTGTTTAGCCATTCAGATGACAGAGTTTGTTCCTGCTTGTCTGCCTATAGCTAAGTACAATAGATATGACAACTATTAGTATTAGTTTTAGCATGTCTCATCATGAATTTTTGTAACACTCAGTTCAATATCTAAAACATAATTTTGTATATTATATTTATGATTATAGTTCTATTCAGAAATGATCATGCCATGTCATCTTCCTTTTCTTTACACACCACTTAGGAAGACTTTTTGTCAATCTCTTGCTTTTTTTTTCCCCTAGCCAAATTTAAACCAGTTCTTCCTGAAGCTGACCAAACTGGCAGGAACTTAGAACAACTATTATAAAGTATTTGCAATCATCAGTAAAATACATTGCTGTCTCCTATAGTCTGCAAATAAACCATAGCATTAAAGTGCAATTTAAATCTGGAAGCTCATTATTGCAAATTAAAGCGAAGTCCTGCTAAGCCTGTCTAAAAATAGTAAAATTCCATCAAAAAAACCCTGCAAAATTCTACCAATTTCATTATCGGTAAACAATTTTTTGTATCATACTTGGTTTATAACCTCTTAGCAAGTGCCTTGGGACATTCTTTCTCTGTGACTGGGACTTCTCTTCCCTGAAACACTTCACTGACAGCAATGTTCTACGAGACAAACTAGGTCCTTCCTCAAAATCTCCCAGTTCTTTCATCTTTGACCGATACTTGTAAGCATCCTATTAAGTGAAAACTGGTACATTCGTGAAGGACTATAATCCAACGCTATCTTCAGCTACTCTGTGTCTGTGAGCATTACCAAGAACAAAAGCCCACCACAACATTGACATCGACAGCCCTCTAGCTGAATATAAGCAAGAAGCGGTGCCACTTATGCTACCTGAGTGTCCGTTTCCCTGCTGGCAATTTGATCAATGGCTACATCACTCACTGAGAACACTTCACATGAAATAACACAAAAATAAAAACTAAAGATGCAAGTAGTTGAGCATCAAAAACACATGAAGTTATTCAGTTGCATTTTTGTTGCCGTTAATTAAAGCAAGACCACTTCTTAAAAGGGACAATGCAGATGCACTCATTTTGAAGATTCTACAGTGTAATTAAGACTACCAAGGATTAATTTATGTTGTCCATGCTCAAGACTAATTTGGATTACAGCAAAGCAGGCTTTTTTTAAATACTTCTGCCAAATACTTACTTTACAATCTTTTGGCTCAATACTGTAGCCATATGTTTCTGCAATAATCACTTGCAGAGAAACATCAGACATTGTCACATCATCATACGCTTTTCAAAGCCAGAATACCATTATAAAAAGTTGATCATATTATCACAGTATTTATTCAGGCCATTTGCAAACTCAGACATGGAACATCCAAGTGCTTAAATTTGTTTGGAAATGAAAGAGAAAGTTGTCCAGAAGTCAAGAATTTGTCTTTTAATTGAAAATTCAGATTCCAGATCCACTTCTACAACAAGAACTACTTCATGGCATGCACCATGGCCACAGTATCACAAATGCACTAGATTTCAATTACAGGAAATACTTTGAATAGTGCGAATACTGTGAATAGTGCAAATAACTGCGGTTATGCAACTGCATATACTTTGGTTATCTAAGGCAACTGCCAACTTTAAGAGTCACCACTAACGTATGTATTTGCAAACTTTCTCAGCATAGTTAATTTCGTTTCAGTAAATACATTTAAACTAAGTGTACTTAATGTGCATGATAGAGAATACTGTAACTGAGAGTTACCATATATTCATGAGCTCAAGCTGCTCTCCCCAGACACCTCAATACCACATCTGTCCTTTCTTAATTTATATGACTTAGTCAGCCTTATTGGACACCCAATGCGGCAACTCTTGCGGTGAAGGCTCCTTGTCTCGTTTTGAAACAATGAATTCCCTATGCTTTGGTTTATACGGTTACTTTTTTCTCCAGTTAATGACAGTCAAAATGTTTTTATCTGAATTGGATTTGTCTCCTCACATATCTCAAAAGAATGCATTCTTAAATATGCTAACAGTATATAGGAAGATGCCACGGCAGGGTTTTCTTCTATAGGTCAGACGCAAAAGGACTATTTCTATACCACTTCCGTATGTTTGACAGTAAATTAATCAGTATTAAATTCATAATAAACTGCGCTGTGATTGTGTTTTTGAAAAGCTTGAGTTTACTTGATTTGCAGAACTCTTTGGATTGATAATAAATTCAGTGAATACGCTGTGACTAGCCATCCCACATGTGAACATCCATATGACGCCTACACCAAAAGCCTTTCAGTCAAGGCAGCTGATTACCATCCGTAGCATGGTACGTGCAACAAATCCAGCTGAGACCTTTCTAGAAACTGATTACATCTATTGCTTTAAGTACAACAGAACACCCTAACCCAGTCCTGGCTGTCCTCAAGGGAATTACAAAAACATACAAACTACCATTCACGACATCCACCAGAAGAATTAAACCTAGCCCATTCACTTAAAACAGTCTTTCCCGCTAACTGGTTAAGGAGCCCCTACCTCTAGGCACAGTAAGCACACAGCTCATATTCATTCCCACTTGGTCAGCCTGAATAAAGGAGAAAGACAGTATTCCCCTCCTTATCGTTCCCATCCCTTGTTTTCCATCCTGTACCTATATATTAATGATATTTTATCTATGGTTCTCAACCTATCATATACTCTTTTTTTGCCTGTCATCCCCCTTGTTTCTTTATAATCTCTGATTAGTGTCTGAATCCCCATTTGTAGTAACACTGTGGCTTTAGTCACAGCAGAAAACACAGGAAAGAAAAACAACATTAAGGGACAGTTTTGTTTACTGCTTTGTCTTTCACCTGCAAAAACTGTAAGGGTGAATAGAGAACAAAGTAGCCACGTTGAATATATCAACAAGATCACAAGATCTTCAAGCAGCTGGAGGAGTGGCAGAATATAGTACAGGTTTTCCAAAAGTTGATTATTCTAACTTAAAATAATTTATTTTCCACCATTCTTTGTTAAAGCAATTGTAAATAAGCATTGTCCTGGTTACAGCAATGGCCATTTCCAATCAAACGGCCAAACATGTTTACATTTACTCAAATGCTTGAAAGATAACTAGCTAGTTTCTTTCAAGGTGAAGGTTTGTTGAAGCATTTTACATTTTCAGTAGCAGAAATACTAAAAGATTAAGTAATCATGGGCATCTGCACATCTACGTTTTTTAGGTTCTTCTAACCAGTATCAGAAACACTTCCAACTTTAGTAAAGGCTTCCTTTTAATTTCTTGAAATTACAACAGACTCCTGACAGACAAACAGCTGAGGACATTTCAAATACAGCTGTAAAACACTGCAGGGTGTGGTGCTTTTATGAAATCAAGACACAGGCATGAAATCTTGTCTTTTTTTTTTTTGAAGTATTTCTTTACCGAGTAATGGCGCCAACCTGGATTCTGCAACCCTACATAAATCACTGCCAGTTGTGGCTAAGCTGTAATGTTAACCAACCAATTTAAAACCATTACTGACATAGAAACATGTATTTAGAGATTTTGTGCCAACTATGAAACCACACAGTTTTTCAATCATGTGAACAGGATACTCTATATGGAATGCTAAATACTAAAAGCCACATTGGTTTTTGGGGTTACCTTTCTTGATTGCTCAGTTTGGCATAGAGGGCTTTTACCAACACTGGACATTTCAGCAAATGGTCTGTAACAATCAAGAACCTAAAGAAAAAAAAAAAAATGTTACTGGTGCTACAAAAACAGCATCTAGATTTACTCCAAATGGTGTTGGTTTTTACTTGTAGATGACCATGTGACATGCTTCTGGTCCTATTTGCTGATAGATACAAATTGTCACAAAATAATTGCACATTGTTCTGCCGTATTTTTCCTAATACAGCAATGGCCATTTCCCATCAATTCAGCACACTTTTATTCAAATGCTTGAAGGAAAGCTGGTTAGAGTCTTTTGCCAGTTATACAAAAGGCACACCACAATTCAAATAACAAAACACTCATCCAATTGTTTATGCATTTCAGCAAAAAGCCAAAAGTTCAAGCTTGAAAACTATTATGCTCTTCATCACAATGCTCTTTTTAAGCCCACCAGCCAAAAAGTGCCCAAATAATTTCTCTTTAAAGAAAAATTTCTAACAAAGCATCAAAGCAAAGGGGAACTTCTTTGCCAGATGCAAGACAGGAAAACACTGTTCTCAACTTACAAAACATACCCTCCTTGTGTAATAGGAACCTAAGCTGATAACCAAACCTGACTCCTTGCTTTATGAGGCAGGTAGGTATGGTCACTCTACCCTTGTGCTAATGCCAGTATTTACACTGATCACTTTCCCGAGCACCATTCACAGCAGCAAATAGCAGATGCTAGTCACCTAATTTCAGCCCAGACGTGTAGTCTCAGCATTATGAGAAAAAACAAAGTATGTACAAATATTTTTCTCCTCAAATTACATTCCTAGGAGTACTGATAGCATTATATATGCTGCATAGGCATATGCATACTAAACTATGCATTTTTAAAGCAGAGTGTCTATCTACTAAGTATAAAATAATTACAAGTAAAATCTCAGGGCATCCTCTGAGCTGATGAAGCTACTGAGAAAGAACAGCTAAAATAATATGAAAACCAAGCCATTTCAATATTCCCCCCACCTCCTCCCTTCACTTTGCTGAAAGCCTTTTATTTTCTGTATCCATAATCCACTACACAGCTAACAGGAAGATCACATAGAAGCCTTCCAGCTGCAACAAAGTATTTTTTGGACAAATACTCAATGACTATTGGAGAAACAAGAGAACAAGAGGTTCGAAAGATTAATAGCTATTATATTTCTAACGGTAACTATGGACTTAGCCAGCAACTGGTTCAGTTACTGTAAACTAGACAATTTTAAGAGGGGGAGGGAGAAGAAAAGCTATTTTGTGCTGTGCTTTTTTTTACTGATATTTGTATGCATATTCAAGGAAAAAAAAAATTGTACAGGCACAGGGAATCATCAGCTTAAAATTGGCATTCTGAGCAGTGTAGCATTGATTCAAGAGTTTCTCAACAAAAATTTGAACCTACAAACTTCCCCAAAGTCAACAGCCCAAACATTCCAACTGAGCAGCGCAGACTCAGCCGTAACAACCAAATCAAGCCATCAGCAGGGCAGTCAAAGGGAACGCTTCCACAGTTCCTGAACCAACAATTCACAGCGTACGAGCTATCCACAATTAAACCTTCATAATGGTAACAGTTGACTTCATTTTTTTAAGGATTTGAGCAGAAGCAAAGGCTTTTATCTGGAGCTGCAAAAGAAAAAAAAGCATAATAATCGGAGTTGTGCAGAACACAGTACTTGGCCTCATAACACACAAAGTTCAGCTGACAATGAATTATGGTAAGAGAACATTGAAGGAGACAATCTGAAGCCTGATTTTTCAATTTTGCAGTTGGGACTATGAATTTAAATCTTAATTTTCATGAATAACATTACTTTGAGGTAATCTTGACTATTTGCTTCGTACTTAAAAAGCGATCGATAACTATCACATAAAGATCTAACGCTACTAGGTGCACGTTAGTGATTACTGTTGCAAAGTGGAAGATCTGTATTCTAGTCGTTACCTGGGTCTACACTCTCGTGTTTATTCACACACATCTTTCACGTTCTGTGGACTAGACCTCTACTGCTTGAGGAGCCTGCAGTATTTCAGGATAACGTTTCTGCTTATAAAAAAGAGCGTAGATTTCTGTATATGCTTCTTACCCTTTTAATTTCATGACATGATGTAACACCTCAGAAATTTCTGCTTCAGTATTTAAGTTTCTCTTTTACCTTATCCACTTCCTGCATTACTGTATCATAAAGAATAGAGCACTAGCATATTCTACAGGATCATCACCAAGAGATAACAGAAGAATTAGTAGGGGAATAAAGCACTTTCAACTCTTGCTACCATGCCCAGAAATGTTGGTGGTAGTTAAGCAAGGAAGCAGCAAATTAAATTTAACATATTTAGTCCTCAGTTCTCCTGTTTTTCATTTGGGGCAGGGGAGAAGAAGAAAAGTAAGACCATCCACAAGTCTGAAATAAAAAAAGACATTCAGTTTTGGGTTACTGACTGAATATGGCATTTCAGATGCACACAAAAGGCTTCGGTAGTAGATTTAAACTCTCTTTGGGGGCCAACAGCAGAACCACTGGGATAAACTGAGGACCACTGTAATTTAGTGAAGGAAATGGTGAAAATTAAAGTTGTTATGCAAGTGTAGCACAGTAACAAATGAACAGTGTTAAATAGGCCAATTTTCTTGACTTAAAAAATTGTTTGGCTAAAATCCTAAAAAAAAATAAAAATCAAGTGCTTATACAGTAGATAAATACAGGAGGAGATGTTCAGTTTAAAGACTTTACAATAGCACAAGGGCTGCATTGTACCAAATTGAACTTGAGAAGCAGCCAAGATGAAATGGTATAAGCTACATTTGCGCTCAGTATATTCCAAATGACCACTAAGCTTGCTCCAATCAAAGCCGGGTGTAAGCAATCAACTTCATCATCAAATGTCATGCTCCATATTAAGTTGATTTGATCCCATTAACAAGTTTAGAGAACAGTGTGCTCGGTCTCAGAAAATGAGGAAGGAAAGCCCCATAAATGTTTCAGAAGAAAGAAAAAGACATGGTGATTCTCTGTTTGATCAGCAAACTTCTCTTCTGATCTCATAACCAAAAGCATTTTTCATCATTCTACAATAATGCCACTCTATCCAAAATATTTAGTAAGATGAAATAGCTATTTTTACTGTAGTTTAGCAAAGATAACAAATCATCTAAATTTTGAAGAATAAAGAGAAGAAAATTTAGACAGTTAACCTTTCAAAGCCATATCACCAGCCTTTCTAGATGCTAAAAAAGCAATATGCCTCAGGAGGATTTGTTTGGGACCAGAACATATTTTAGAAGCAGAAGTTTTTTTGTCCTTGCACAAGAATATAAGCACCTTACCAAAACTTTCTAAAAAACAATTACAAGTATAAAGCTATTTAATAACAAATGGAACACATGTGCTGTCAAAGATCTCTAGAAACTAGATAATTCATCCCAAACACCAGCACTTCTCACTCAAAAGAAGAATAAGGAAACACATTTCCGTATTTAAGGCTCAACCCCAAGTATCAAGCAGCCCAATACTCCTCTCTTGAGCTGAATCAAGCACAACAGTGAACATGCTTCCATCTTCAAAAGGCATTACCCATAGTGAATGCATCCTCCTGACAGACCACGATACTGTCCACCAAGTCAACTCTCAGGTCTGGAAGACTGAGTTCAGATTATCTATAATATTTCTCTGATTCAGAAGACATTTCCATTCCATTTGATAGCTACATCTGAAAGGCACTAAAGAGAGATTTATTTTTACTTACGTGAAAAGTTGAAATAATTTTTTTCTGAAGAACTACCAAGAAAAAACTGGAAGATTATTGGCAACACAATCACTTCCTGCTCCCCCTTCTCCACAAAATATACAAGAACAAAGAGGTGACAAGATAAATAAATGTGCAAGGCTGGGCTTTGAAAGATTGAGGAAAGCTGTGCCAATACACTACTACTGCAAATAGAAAGTAGAAGCTACTCAGATCTCTACAATTAAGGAAACTTTTCCAATTGTCAGTACTATTTAAAACCACAGTTGAACTTGGAACCTGCAACGTAACTCCAACTTTCCTGGAATTAAAAATAAGAAATACTTTCTGGAGAGCTGAAGAAGGGGGTGGGGGACACCCTAAACTGTCAGAGAAGAGACGGAGTTGCCAGCCCAAAATGAAAAAGAGAAAAAAAACAGAAAAAGAAAAAAAGGTAACATTTTCTGGTTTCTCCACCACGTGGATACCAATTAAGCAACAAGCGCTCTACTGAGGAGTTCCATCTTTGCCTTTAAATCTGTACCCATGGGGGAGACTCCTTGCCACAGGACCACTAGTTTCTGTCCACACTTCTTTCCATAAGTCAGGACAAAATAACCAAAGGCAAAAAATGGGGAGAGGGAGCCCCACATCCTAAACTTTACAGTCATCATTGAGCTGTGGTTTCAAAAAAGTGGATGTTCAGAAAATCTTACTTCCATTGCCAAACAGCTGACCACACTCTTAATATCGTTCTTCTGGAAGCCAAAAGGCATATTACGCCTCTTATTTTAAAATGGAGGATTTTTGTTCCTTGCTCTTCAGGAATCAAAAATACAACCTGTTTTTTCTTTCCATAGTAGCTACATTGCCCCATGCACACTCTTGGAAAAACTGATGACACAAGCTATACTCTCATCTCTAATGGAACCACTGAAGTATTTCTAAAATAAACAGCTTTTAGAATACACATTGGTCTCGGTTAGGATAAATTATAATGTAATTTTGTACTACTTTTTCCTAATTATTTTACAAAACACATATGTTTGCAGGTTCAATATTTGAAAATAGATCTCATGTGGCATTCTGTACTGGTTTCTCTTCTAAACACAGTAGCTTCTAGAGTGTGTGACACACTTTTCTGCTGTTGATTAATACAAACCCGAAAGGGAGTGGATGTGTGGGGAAACACAGAGGAATGACTTTTTAAAGGCTCCACAACTTTCCAGAGCCTAAGGCATAGTTCTCTGCATGTTTTAAGAAAAAGCTGTTAGGAAAAAAAAAAAAAAAAAAAAAAAAGAGGCAGGCAGTGC